GTATCAAACCTACTATCAGCTTGGAACGACTGTACGTCATGGTGGGATATAAATATTCAGGTTTATGTGGTCTTCCTAGACTTCAAGAAGGCATTTGACACACTTCACTTTGACCTTCTACCGCACGAAATAAATCAGGAGGGAATATGTGGGCTGCTTCCGTCGTGGTTGGAGAACTACCTAGATGAGAGGAAATTCTAAACTAAGGTCAATCGTGTCCGATCATCGGGGCACAGTTCGTCACCAGAAGCATCGCGGGATTCTATACTAGAGCTGTTGATATTATTTTATCTAAGCAAACTGGCTCTTCTTCACACTGACATCGTAACGATTTGGAGAGCAATTAAAGTGTTCGAAAGACTCAGGCAGGCTTCAGGTGGACCCGAATCTTCTGGAAGACCGGGCGATGGTGAGTGGTATGACTTTCAATCTGAAAGAGTGCAGAGTAGTGCAACTACGCACCCGTAGACTGTAGAATGTAAGTTACACTCCGTACAACGTCGGAGCGTGACTTGGGTGCAGTTCTAGTGGAAAAAGTGGACACAAGCGTTAATTACGCGGCCGATGTAGTGAGGGTATGTGTGGTACCACACCTCACACAGTTAGATGCTCTCACTCCTGAGCCCTTTCTGAGGTCGTACAAAACATAAACCAAACCACACGTTGAAGTGCACAGAAACACGGCTGCTCAGAATAGAATACGACCTATTGGAAAGAGTGCAAATACAAGCGTCCAAATGGGTGATGTGTCTCCGGAACAAAGCATAAGGTGAATGGCTGAAGAAATTGGATATTTTCACTCCCGAATGCCGTCGGCTTACTAGAGCTTAATTTCTGCCTATTGGATTATGAATGACTAGAATCAACCAGACGAAGGTATCCTGCCATTTTGTCCGTATGGGCTTGTGGGAATCCAGGATAAATAGCTCACCAGAGAGGGAAAACTCAAGTGCTGTCCCATATCTTTCCACTTTGTGTTTGTCGTTCCTGGGACTCTGTAGATGTGGCTAAAGCCCATTCAATGGAAAGTCATGCATCCGCACAAGGACCGATTCATAACGGCCCATCCACTTAAAATCTCACACACTGTTAGTGGGGGGGCGACTATATTCATCGTTTCGCTTCTTCACACTCTCTCCGTACCTACTCTTCCGACTACTCAGAATATAACGTCCCTTACACCACTATTCTTACCGATATATATGCGTATATACAAATTTACTATATATATATATATATGTTAATGTCAATTTCAAACTTCACAAGCGGTCTGTTTTTAGTATTTCTTTCTGTTTTTTAATCTACATAACCTACACTGGTTACATCTGTTAGCATTATCTCTTTTTTAACAACACCGGACAGCCAACAGGTGAAACGATCAACTCAAATAACATTAGCAACATGGTATTAACACACCGCACAACACATTCAATATATAACTAGTCTCCGCACCAATCTTCTGGGAGTCAGCCAAGGCTACATTAGTCGAGTGGCGGGACGAACTGCGAAGGAGCTTCCTGAGGACCGCGAAAGTTTGCTTCACTACCAAAAAGCGAACACAAAGAAGTCAAATTGGCTTACAATAGCTCGTAAAGATCGATTTTGGGCATTGGATATTGGTCTGGCGGTTAATGCAAGTGAGGGAGCAATGTGGTGCATTAGGTAAGAGTAAGTGTGACACCTTGAACCCCCTTGACTTATGCGCATGTATGATTTATTGAGTAGGGAAAATAAGATTTCAGATCCAGGAATCATCAGAGATTTTCTCTGAGGGAATATCTTATGACTTTTTGAATGGTGTCACACACGATAGTAGCTCTAAACTGTTAGAAGTATGCATTCTGTGTAAGGGAGAGCTCCATGGACACTGGAGCGTTCAAAATGCAATTAACGACATATTTGTAAGCAAGACGAAGCATAAGAAGGCTTGACGTAAATGCCTGTGAAGTTGAAGTCGTCTGTACCATTGGTTGCAGAAAAGCTGATTCTTGGTATGGATCGTGTCAGTGGCAATTTCGTACTTTATCTTCCTTTCCAGGCATTTATCTTCAACAAGAGCTTAAAAATTAAACATCTAAGACTTGTATGTAATTTCCATTCAAAGTCTTCAGTATTCCCACGTGCTGTCGTCTTATATTGGTGTGCTGACTTATTTTCATTCTTGCACACCCAAAGTAATTTGACGTTGAACATGTGTTTAGTATTAAACCCTTGCCATTCTGCTGGGGACCCCATCCTGTAAAAATAAACGCTGCTACAGAAACTTCAAGCCTCAAGCTTGAGGCCCTATGTTCCACTGGGACTGTGAAGGAATGAAAAAAATAAACATAGGCGACTTATTCAACGTAGCAGACGCACTTACATGAGTTTGCGGATTAATCACTGACTTTCGACTATATCTTTTAGATGGGTGTGTTTGTTCACCATGGGACGCTGCAGATATGGATTTGCGGCGTAATCTCAAGGACCTTCTGAGAGTTCCACCCGAGTCGGCACTTTCTGGTGAGGAATCAATGATGTTTGTTAGGTCTAGAAGACCCATGATAGATTTCCTTCCGCGCTTAGATTCGCTAAGAGGGATAAAAGACAGACAATAATGGGCGTTCATCCTCTTATATTATTGCGGTAACTTATAAAGAATAAACATAGTGAACGCAAGTGCTTAATTAGTTAAATTTAATTGATTAAACACTTGCGTTTGCTTATATATACATGTTATACAACGAACGGACTGAAACTGACCTCATCGGACAAATTGTGACAACTGAAGCTCGGAGGCAGCTTCACCTGAAAAACAGGAAAGCGAACACACTGCCCAACAGCCCACACTAAACCACAAAGGGGGGAACAATCCTGCGAGCAGAGCGAAAGACTATAGCAACGAGAAAAGTTTGTGGAGTACGTAACAAGTTGACTTAGGCGCGAAGACTCAAGGTTCATTGCTTGGCATCATTCGATAAGTGGTCCACTACATTCAGATTGCAAGTATTTTCGATATTGGATAGAAAAATATTGTTATATCGTGGCAAAGTTGATGGATAGTGTTCCAAAGGGACGGACGCACCAGAGACCTTGAAAGTAACAGCCGAAATCAGAGGGTTAATTTAGGTCTTTTATTCAACCCTAACCAGAATATATCACTGAATAACCTTAGTCCGGCGTCTACGCCTTTCTCATCTAACTGTGGCTCACATCTTTCCTTAATTTACCACAATCCAGCCTCAAACAATCCTAATATTCCTACAACTTAACCCCAACAATTTCTCAGCTTGACCCTAACTCTGATGTTATCATAAGCATCAACTAACAGCTTCAGTGAGTGACAGACTGATGAGTAAAGTGAATTTTCGGACGGACTAGTTACCGTCACAGCCCTGGTCCTGTTTGTCTTTAAGAATCTGGATGCAAACCAAAGTTTCACACTCTTTGCTTCTGGATTCCATCTGTAGATGCTTATTCATTTGTAAGATGATAGGTTATTTGACTCTGATTATTACCCATTAAAATGAATGCGATGATATTTTTATCCGATCGAAGCACCGGAGTTGTTGACGGTGAGAATTCTGGTTTCTTAGTGAAACTAATATTTGAATGCAAATTTGTTATGGTGAGTCTTCATGATAAGTGCCTATGATTTAATATTCGCCTTTCGAATTCGTCAAGTGTGTTCATCAGTTTTGCATTAGTGCAGGTTACCAAGGTTGAGCCTGAGTTTTTGGACGGGCTTAGTCTCGAAGTAAGTACAGGGTCCTAGTTTGTAATCGTTCAGTAGACTCGTTTCTAACATTTCATTGTTCCACTTCATCAGAGACTTTTCATTCCTCAGCATTCCAACAGGGTTTTGGACAAACCTTCTTCAAAATTGCTAATTTTGGTGTCACAGATTTTTGTGGGTTGGACTTATTTCCAAGATGCCTGAAGTGTTGCATATAGAACACCAGTCTGAACAGAATGCTTTTCGGTCGCAACAGACAATGCATATATTTACGTGTTCACGGTAACTTTGTAGTTCACCTATACTGTGAGCTCTGAGTTCAGTTTTTTGATTTTTTTTAACGTAGGTGTAATAAAATTGTGAGAAATTTATGAAGCATAATCTGTTTGTGATGTCTGTCAATTATTTATAATTGTTGGTTATATAAGTCTGAATTACTTTTAAGATGAAAAATCTGCTTGTTTTGTGTGTGAACCGCTAGGTTTTTAGGGGGCAGTTTTTTATGACCTGTAACAGCATAGCGTTCGTTGATCTGATACTAATCTGGATTTAAAGAAGGACTGGTGTGGATTCTGAATGTTCATTACTTCGTAGATCTATATGACCGCGGTTGGTCTGACAGTGAAAAAATGAGGAACTTGCTAAAATTATCTCCTTGCTGAACTACCTGTTATTCCCTTTCTTGTTTTAACACCCCTGGCGTTCAGCTTGCAAATAGTACCGTGTTCTGTATTTGGAGGCAACTTTACTAAACATCTGGCCCGAAAACGCATAACGGAAACTTAAGTTGACGTAAGCTTTTAGGTAAGAATTAGTGGGTAAGAGAAGCTAAGGAAATGGGATGGACATCGTTAACCGGTAGTAGTCAACCACTTCAGTTCATCTAGTTGATCAGCTTTGGAAAAGGTATTCTAAGTGGAATGACCCTTCAATGAGATAATACTTAATTAACTTCCAAAATTGAGACTTCGAACAGAAAGCTGCTAAGGGAAGTTGGACTGGCTAGGTATATGGTACGACGTTCTGCGCTGATAGACCTAGGTCTGTTACTTGTCTGGTTTATGGTATTTATTTTGAGTAGTTCACATGATTGATTGACTCCCGCTACATTATCTTCCCATTTATATCATTTGTGTTATAAATCATAAAAGTTTGTTTCTCATGTTTGAACGTAGGTTTTTAATGAATTAGTAGGATCATGACGCTTAAGTGCATCTTGCTTTAATATCAGATGACTAAAATTGTCATGCATAATAAATGAGTGGCCTTTTGATTTCTTTTCTAGGTTTTTATTCGAATATACACCTTTAAGTACTTTCATGATGGCAAATGTGAAGTGGATCTAACTTATTACGAAGGATTTGTAAAATATTGAATCATAATTTTATTTTTAATGAATTAAGATGTAAAGATGGCCACTGATTGTGCAGAAGAAAGTACTGAAGGTATCCAACACCCTATGGATCCTGACTCTATTTCCGTCGACATCACAAAAATCTTTTTTTCTGCATGTGGAGTAGGCCTAGAACCAGGTGAACTACTACATGCAAGTTGGTTCGACTTGCAGTATTCCATGTCGGCTATTGAAATTATGGATCCCAAAATGGATGCTCGGATTCAAGGAGGCAGGAGAGTTTTGAGAATACCTGAGGCATTATCCACTAACCAGCTACCTCTAGGTCCTTTCACATCTCTTTCTCTACTTGTGGGTATCATGGATGAGCTGCTGTCTGCATTTTCAAACTGGTTAACGGGAGATTCCCTAGCTCAAAGCATTTTTATATGTATGTACATGCACTGCACACCATTAGTTCACGACAAATATCTAGTTGCATTTTGTGAGTCGCTTCGCCGAATAGTTTTTCAGTTGCGTCATATAATCATCGCTGTCGGTGTTTTTGACGAGGAAGACCATTATACGTTTATTCATGGTATGCCTATTGAAGAAGCCCACCCAGTCTATTATTATTATGGCTGTATGTCTACCGAAAATAATGGCTGCGTGTGCAAAATGCGGTCTATCGATCTAATTACTCATGTGAATGATTTATACACAAATCTGGAAAATAATTCCAGTGTATTTAGTGATAGAGAAGAAAATCTTCTTGCGGGACTACGTAGCCGTCTACAATTTGTGCAGTGTTTATTACTGTTCACAAATCTCTTTTTTGAGCGCGTTATTCCAGCTATACGGGAATTTCAGCCGGATGATTTCGAAGGATATACAAAGATAGATTTTGATGCTGGAGAAACTGCATCTCTTTCGAAAGTATCTGAAATTCAAGACAATGCTATGACCCCATGGGACTCTTTTATCTGCTTTTGCCGCGGAATATCACAGCATATTAGTGGTCTAAAATCGTTGAGTAATACATTATTGGAAACTGCATATATCGGCGAAAAAGCTGGTGAAGGGAAGCATAGACCTAAGGATGCAATCTATGGTCTCCCAGGTTTTGAAGTTTTTCTTAATCAAACTAGTGTACCTTCATACATGCCTAAGGTAGTAGATATTCATGATCGTCACAAATCGTTTGCTTATTTTTCTAATCTTTTTACAAAACTGGAACATATTTTATGCACATATGAAACATTTTCTGAGTGGCATAAGTTATATCCTGATCCGTTACGTCTTCAGAGTTTGTGGGCATTCATTCAGAAGTCTGGTCAAATATCCTGTTCTTATGTCAAAGCTCTCCTGTTACACGATAATTCTAGCGAAGTAAATGAACCAACATTGAGTACTTGTGTTTTGTCAAGGACTATTACTTATATGCTTTATTTCATTCTCATGTCCCAGGAAGACATCTTTGATTTTAAACCTCAGTCTTTCTCTCCAGTGAATTTACACTGCTTCCTGAGTTCGTGGAGCCAGATAGAATGTACTGCATATCGTCCACTAATCAAAGATATCATTTCTAAAACTCCTGAATTGACGAGTTTTCTTACGACACTTTCAACCATTTCGCTCACGTAAGTCCAAGGTCTTTGATTTAACTTTTTTTTATATTGTTTAGGGAATATGAATTCAGAAATTTTGTCCCACTTTGCTGTTTGGCCACTTGAAGACTGAATAGCAACTGATTACAAAATGTCGTCCCACTAGATATTTGAAGTTAAGAAACTAACATACTAAGTACGTGCTGAGAAGTCAGAGTGTAAGATACGTAGATAAGAGCATCTATGAAATGGAATCGAGATTTTCATAGATGGTTTCAAAGTATCCACTCATTAAATTAATTAAATTAAAAAATAGCTGAGTAGAGAATGTACGAAAAGCTAAGGCTAAACCGCACTTTAAGACGTTGAAGCGTCATGAATTTTAGCAGATTGTGTATCGGTGGTTGTTCGTATCACGAGGAATAAGTTTGTAATCTTCAACGAAAGGCCACGCGTTATTCGACGCCAGGCTAGCAGATCTTATTTACAGTGTGCTCAGACACGTGAAAATCGGACTCAGATCTCTTGATACTACAGAAATGTTATTCAGCTACTCCTTGCAATGAAGATTGTTTAATAATTAATATTTATGTCTTCACCTGGACTTCGCAGAAGGTGTCAAGTGTTTTGGAAGATAAGTGAAGTACTTAAGTACTTACGTTGTAACCACCAGCCCTGATAGACTAATTGCTGTCAAAGGCTCGTGTGGCATTTGTGAACTTACGTCATCTTTAGTTCAGAAGCAATATTTATCTACCCTTCAAATAACGCATGTAGTGTTCCACCTCTCCTTGTTTACTGCTGCGGGACATGGCCTTTGAAATTAAAAACTATGAGGCGATTAACTATCTTAACTAAGCACGGTTTCTATCTCTTGGGGTAGATTGTGCAATATGGTGGGTAATAATGAGGTTAGGTGTAGTGTTAAGTAAGGACGGAAAATTAATCAGTTCAGATCTAATGTGTGTCGACTTTTTGTTATATAAGCTGAAATAAAGTAAAAACTGACAAGGGATTTAAATTAGAGAAACAATTTATGCATATATTAATCCACATCGATTCAGTTAAGTAGAACGCATGTTGCGTTTATCAAACCACTTTTTCCGAGCAATGTGAGCAGATGTAGGAATAGGTTGGAAAAGACTGAAGGGTTGTCGAATCAGTCACCAATCCTTGAATTGTCTGACTGGTTGGAACTGTGTTTGCTGGTATCATATCGCTTGCTGAGGTCCTCGGGATGCTAAAAACAAATGGGTATTTTACGTGGCTCAAAATCGTTATCAATGTCAGAGATTTATTCATTGCTGGTGATCTCCCCGATTCTCATTTTCCTCATCAGCCTTCATCTACATATTTTTTCTGTCCCATACATCTTCATCCATTATCGTTTCATTATGTCCTTCCTCCTACTATTGTGTGCTCTACTTAACTGATGAGGTTCCCTGCGAAGTCCTACGTTGGTGATTCATCTCAGCTCATTAGCTTGCCCTCAACTAATGTACTAGACTGAATTACGATTGGAACGTGGAGATGTGGCTCATGGACTTAAGCACTTGACTTTTAGTCAGTGTCATTGGTTTGAAGCTCGGTCTTACTACTTCAGCTCGGCCTATAGTTTAGTATCGTTGGTCCTCACACAGTAAATTTAGCTCATAACCGGGTACATAAAGCCTGTTTTTGGTAAATAAATCCCAACAACAGTCCTCGTTCTAGGTACTATGATCTCAAGAACAATTTAATTCCTTAACAAAGCGAACGAATGTGTTGTTAGCTATTATGTTGAATAGCTATCTCTGAATAATGTCCTTTGTGTATCATTCGGCAAACTTACTTCCGTGTATGTTGTAGATTGCAAGGATTGCACAAAAAAAAACTCGTTTGTTTTTGATTTTTCTAAGTATTAAATAGCTGCACTATCTTTACAGTATACTATAATTACTACCAGTTCGGGTACTTGACTGCGGCAGCAAACGCAAGTAGGACACTTGCCAACGTTGCAGTACTCATTGATGAATAAATGAAGAAGACTTTCCGTAGCTAAACCAAATATTTGAGTAATATTGTCTCTAACACAGTTCCAAATGTTTTTGTTTCGTTGTATATTGGTTTCTGAAAAATAACAAACAGGTTGTATAGAGTGTAATTTTAGGCTTCCTGTAAGTCATCTACCGTCATTCAGGACAAGTATACAAGTCACTATAACTGCTATTTACTTTTTCCTCCTCTTTAACAAGGGAAATCCATAATTATTTTAACAGTAAACGAGTAACAACAATCCAGTAGAAAACTGCCCGACTTAATATGGATCCTTTACTTCTGCGAAAAAATGACTGCTAGTCTGAAGGACAATCAAAGATAATTTTAATCGAACTACCTTTAAGTTTTGGCATCTGGTACCTTATCCTATTTAATTTTGGCTGTAAGCATAGAAAGAATAGCTTGTAGCCAAATTAATGAACATTATTTAAGTCACGGAATATACACATTTGATCGTAGGGAATAAAAAGACAGTTGCAGCGAATGTAACTTTTTTTTGACGAAATCATCAACTAGGCTGTATATTCGTGTATTTATAATAAATGGGTAGGAAAGTTCCGGAAAAATTTCCGGTCAAGGTTGAGATTAATAAAATTACAATTAGGAATTAAAATGCCATAATAAACAGGGTGATGCTTTCGTCCAGTATCCTTCTAGGAGTACGTCACCGCTCCTCTTGTAGCTTCTTAAAACTACATAAGGCTTTTTAACTCTTTAGTAACTGTTTTATCAGACTGATTACCCTACTATGTTAACTCTGAATATTGTCATAACAGTTATCTTACTAGTTTTCTTTTAGATATTTTTATCTTTTCAGCACAAAAGTGGATGGTCAGTCGCTTCTAGTTAGTGTTGTTAAGTTAATACATCACTCTTATGTCACTGAATTATTTCCTTGTCTTAGCCTGAAGCACTCATCAATATTGTCAATTGCTTTGGCAATGCTTAGTGGTAAAAGAGGTGTCAAGAAAGTATATTACAGTAATCAGTGCACTCCACCAGAACTCACGCAGCCATGTAACAGCTTACGGGAATTGATGCAAACCAGTGGTGTCAGTCACTGATGCCCACTGTCCGCACTTTTGTTTAGCTTCTTCATAGTTGTACCAATGGAATTGACCCTAACTGACTACTCCACTTACTTGGGAAGTTACAGCTGCCCTAATAAATTTATTGCTGAGGAAATGTCGTCACGGATACAAAACATTCGTGTGGCATTCGCTAAGTTTAAGTCATCTCTAGCGTAAATGTGATATCTGCATAAGGGTGTGTGTATTGCACAGCAGTTCGCTCCTAGTGACTCCTAGTTTAGAAATAGGAAGTGAAGTGGTAGAGCACGTTGACCGCTTCACTTATTTGGGAAGTACCATCAGCCGCAACGAGTTGATCTCCGACGAAATCTCAGCACGGATACAGAGGGCTAGTTTTGCATATGCCAGTTTACGCCGTCTGTGGCATAGACGTGATATCTGGCTATCAACCAAAGGGAGGCTGAATTGCTCAGCGGTCCTCTCTATCCTCCTTTATGGCTGTGTGACCTGGCCATTAAGAGTGGAGGCATGAAAAGATTAGCTGTCTTTGATCATAGGTGCCTGCGCTCTATCTCCCATGTAAAGTGGTATAATAAAGTGAGCAATAGTGAGGTTAGGCGTCGAGTTCTAGGTAAGGAGGGAAATCAATCGACGACGCTGTGAAATTACATCGACTGAGATGGTTAGGACATGTGTCACGCATGCCTGGTCATCGCCTTCCTCGACGGGCAATGTTAGCTGATATAGGGTCAGGCTGGTAAAGAGCTAGCGGCGGTCAAACCAAAACAGGCATCAGTCAATGAAATCTACAACAGTTAGTCGAAGCCACGTAGGAAGGTGTAGACTTCCTTGTTGGGGTCCTCGGGATGGTAAAAACCAATAGTTGGAAACAATTGGTGACATGGCTCAAAATCGTTCTCAATGGCCGGCCAGATGCATCCACTCCTTGTGACTTATGATTTCCAATGAAACGTTTTTGTTCTTCGTTATTACTCCTTTGTCTCACACCTCTGCTCACTGTCTCTATTATGCTTATCTTGTACTTTCTTCTCTTGCTTCGCGTGCTACACGGAGTGTGGCGACTTGAACTTCCGCACATTTGTACAAAGTTCTATGTCGAAAACAGACAGACAGACAGTCTAGTGTGTTCCACAGAACTTAATTTTCATATCAGTTTATTTAGTAAGTTTAAGACATTACATAGCTTAAGTTACATAGTCTAAAATCATTTTGCGTTGTTTGGAACAGTACAGTACACTGTTTTATGATTATTCACTTCACAAATATAAGAATGCTATTGCATAAATAAACAGTCGTTTTTAATTACCATTTATATGTGTAACACAGATCATGTAACACCATTCTACATATGACACAGACAAAACGCGTGTCCAACCTATGCAGTTTCCTCCTTGATTTCTTCATAAAACTCCCCTTTTCCTCACCGCTCCCACTCAATAGAATTATATCATCCATGTGCTTCAATGCCGACCAGTCGTTCACTTGGTAGCAAGTCACGCACTAGTATGGGTATTTTAAGTGTGACAGAGAATATTTATCCAGGCACTACTGATAGTCATCACTTCAGGTAAAATCCCTGTAGTTGTATGAGTTTGAACAGAATGCCCTGATGAGCATAAGATACTTTCTTAGTACTCCCTTTCGCAGTGAAGCATTACCACAGCACCTGTCATTGACGAAGTCAAACACTCTCTTTAGGTCATAAACTATGGTGATTATCGTATAGTTTTGAGTAGGATTGTGTTCTAGAAATCGTCAAGGGATGAAGAATTCAATGTGTGCACCTTTATTTGGTTTAAAACACGCGTGGTTTTTCCAGACTTGTTTTCACGAAGTTTCATTGTGAAATTATAACTCAACGTGTTTACATGGCATATTATGCAGACGAGGGAAGTAATTTGTTAGTATTCATCTTTTCTTTGAGACATTTCGTATGTATTGTATTTTCCGTTATAATCATCTCTATGTACGGAACTCACTAATTTTATTTTGATTGTGTTCGTCTTCTTTTACTAAATGGGCGTAGATTCCTGCAATTTACTGTTTAAATCGTTCACGTCAACGTTCAGCTCTTGCACCATGGTTGCAGCGTCTTCCAGATTTACTCGACGAATGTGTACGTGCAGAATTTGTAATTGGTATTGAATTGGGAAATGTTCTATCAAACAACACAAATGCTAAATTGTTTAAATCACAGGGAGAGTTTGGCATTCCTTCATCACAGTTTTCTGTTCCAGTAGAAATTCATCTATCGCACTTTGTTACATATGTGTACTATTACCTTGCCTGGGATTATGTTATATCTGGCTTTCAATTGGATTTATACTCTCCAAATGAATGGTTATTCATTTATGCATTTATGATACATTTGTTCCGGAATATAAGTGATCTAATCAATCGTCTAGCCGAAAATCATACTTTTTTGACATCTGTGAAAGCAGTTGACTTAGGAAACAAATCTACTGAAAAGGAAACCACTAAATATGATCCTGTAAATGGAGCTGAGATTGTTGATATCCGTAAGAGAAAAAAGAAAAAGAAACACAAAGAAAAAGGTAACACTTCTGCTATGAACACTAACAGCATAGAAACACCACACATGAATTCTAATTGTACAATTAAACCCATACCACCAATGATACATGAAATTGGTTCAGTTTTCGAAGTGAGTATATCAAAGGCTAAACAATACTTCTTTTACAGTATAATGTTCATTAGATTTTTTGGTATTAGTGCTGTATACAGCTATGAAAGTTTTAAAAAGAAGACTTGTAATACATAGGAAAAGCTACGAAAGTATGCTGTTTCTTATAATTAAGCTGAAGTAATATGGGACTCCATTCAATTTTTCCCACCTTTCAGGGGCATAGTACAAAACACAACAAGGATAGAATATTGGGGGTAAAATAGGTTTTATCACACTTATATTGTTGGAGATTTTTAACTTGGACAGAATAAGTTTTTTTTCCCTTCCCTTTCTCCAGTGGAACATAGGAGGGCTTCAAGCTTGTGGCTTGAAGTTTCTGTAGCAGTGTTTATTTTACAGGATGGGGTTTCTAGCCTCATGCCCAACCTTTCCTCTTTACCAGCATTATTTCTGGCTTAGTGAGGTAAAGGAGTGCGTCTGTGGCCGGGGATCGAACTCCGGACCATGTGCATGGTCGGCAAGCGTCCTAACCGCAATGCCACCGACGCGCAGATTAAGTATTTATTACTTATTGTCGACTGAATTACTTGATGTCTACAATAATTGATTTTGGTCGTCTTTCGGAAATAGCATTTTTAAGACTATTAAGTAAGACATATCCTAAAGTTCATAATTAAACAGTCTTTGAACCTGTAGTGTCTACTTCCAAAGTGTTACTGTATTTAGTATTTACAATTGGTTGTTTACAACGAATAGCATATATATTTACACAATTTCTGAATTTTCCTATTATTAATTCATTATTGTAAATTGATTGAATTTCGTTTGCATATGCTTTCGTTTAACATACATCCTGATGTTTTCTGCAGGGAAATCTTGCTTATTTGTAGTGTATAGTACTGAGTTATTCTTTGTGTGGAGACGTGGTTCACTGGTTTGATCACTCTATTTTCAATCAGTGGGTCACAGGTTCGAATTCCACTCAACCTCATTCAGCCTGGACAGCTGGTTAGCATCAACAACCGTGGGGCATAAAAGGTCTATTTCGGAAACTAAGTTCAAGTATAAAATCATATTTTTGCTGATAGATTGGTCGTTATATCGAGATTGGTAACTATAAGTTTGAAATGATATGATATAAAGTGATATTATTTCCGAAATAATTGCATGAGATGACATTGAATGAGATTCACTCGACTAGTTCCTACAATATCGTCATTAGTGGTTCACACGGATAGGTTGTAAACATTTATTTCCTTTTATATGCAGACTGGTCATTTTACATTACAAATCATGACTGATTTTTGAGTTGTAAATTTTTATTCCCTTTGAAACGGTATTTAGGGAATTTTACGCACACAATTTATAGTGCTATTTTATTAATATCCCCTTCACTTATTCTAGTTGGTAATTTCAAGTGTGTACAGTGTATAACCGAAGTTAAGTTATAATTACGTGTTCGAAAGGTGCAAGCTCAAACTCAGTGAAAGGTCCACACTGAATAGTCAGTTATGTATATTGCCGAATTAATGAAGATAATCTCACTACACAGGTGAACGACTGAAATAAAGTGTGTGGAAATACTAATCGTTTATGCTCGAAGGAATTCAAAGATATATTTTACCTTCGTTATGATCAATCTTCGGATACTTTTACAAGCATTTTATGAAGAAATGTCAAGTTGCTTTGAGTTTTTGTGGTCAGCTGGATTTCGTAGGAAAATTATTAAGGTTAATTGGTGAATATAGTTTTATTGTCAAATCACTCTTACATGAAAGCTTTTATATTCAACATAAATACTGATTTTTCATTTGTTTTACTTCAAACCTTTTCAGGCTTACGTAATTAATATACATCAGTATATAAATACAGCAAGTTTGTATGTTATCCGTGCTCTTCAGCGTGATAGTGGGATCGAAATAAATGAAAACGTTCAAAATTCAAATTCTTCGGACAATACACTGCCGCATAGTTTTATGAATAGAACTACATGTCTTGAATCATATGCCAGAAGGCTTGGAATCTTTCTCATTCCGCAAAACTCCCCTCTGACCGAGCTAGGCGGTGTTTCAGGGTCTTACGACTCATGGAAATCATTAATTTCCAGTAGTCTCATTGATGGTCTCCCGATAAATGAGCTATATTTAATGGCGTCAAGAACCTTTGGTCAGGCACAAAATTTAATTCAAAAAACATTAGATTTACGTCCATCAGGTGAAGAAAATTTACGTAGGCTTATGCAGTCTGATATAGCTGTATTCTTATTTAGTGAAACATTAGGACCCCCTGATCGACTCTCTGATCTTCACCAGTTGGCTAAACATAATTCTATTGCTTGTCGAGTCCTTGGCGTTTGTGAGGATCGACGACCAATTGTAAATAAATCATCAGTCGACCACAAGATGTCATTTTTATGTTCATCTAGTCCAGTAAAATTAGACTACAACTTTTTGGAAAGCAGGTCTTATCCACTTATTCGTCTTGCTAGTCAGTCTGAGAAACGGTAGTAAATTTGGTACACTTTTCGCTCTGATCTACTCTCCCACTAACTTTGAAGTATTTTGATATATTAATAAAAAAAAATAGTCTTTGTTAATATTATTTTGTATTTAATTGATATTTACTGTATTTATTACCTTTGGATAGAAAAACATATAGCCCTTGTTTATCAATATTAATTTTAATCCTGTATTCTCTTCCTTTGGTTTTCTGCAGAAGTAAAAAACACCATTCAAGATATTCTTTCGCTTTTTTTATCCGATGCAGTTTAAATTCTTCATTTTGTTGATTCGCATAAATATTCTTGCAGTATAAGTTGATTGTGTACATATGTTGAAAATTAGTATGGAAAAATATATTTCCTTGAATTCTTCGCTTAACGTGAATTTGATATCAATATACAATAATTCCTCAAAAGTTATGTGCATAATTATCATCCATTCAAGCAGGGAATTGCAGATGTCGTAGGACACCTGATAAATATGGCATTGTCCGCCATCTAATAAATCACAGTGGGCTTGTGTAGGGGTTTTGAAATTGTGTTTATGACTAATTTCAAGTTTTAGAGCTTAAATGAATGAAATACAGCGTTTTACTTCAGTTAATTAGAGATTATTACGAAACTTATGAAAAAGATTCTGTTAGCATTCGAGAATGGGGTATAGTGGTTGATTTATATAAATACTGTCGAATTGAGTAACAGACTACTTTGATGATTTATGCGTAGATGTTATATGACAGCAGCAGTGAATTCCACTCAGAATGTCTATCATTTTTGGCTGATTTATTCTGTCTGCATATCATAAATTTGCGCACTGCAATATCAGCCAATCCAATTTACAATTAGTAGCAGCACCTGGAATCTAATAGAAGAGAGGAGGATGGTGAAAAAACAAGACTCAATACAAAGATGGACTTTTGAATCGAACATCACCTGTAATTCGCCCAGAAATACCACTAACAGCACGCACAGAACTGTCAGTGGACATCAATCCTCCAACAAAGGCGGAAATCTTGAGTGCAATCGGGCTACTGAAATCTGATAAGGTGGCAGGATCAGACGGAATTCTCCCCGAAACACTGAAAACTGACCCAGACGCACTGACATTGTTATTGCAAGCAGTTTGGAAAGAAGGAAAGGTACCTACCGATTCGAAGAAATGCTACTTTGTCAAGGTGGTAAAGAAGGGCGACTTAGGCGTCTGCATGAACTGGCATGGAATAATGCTCTTATCCACATCAAGTAAAATGCTGAGTCACATCATCCTGGAGAGAATGAAAGATGCATGGGGTACAGAACTGCGCCAACCAGAACAAGCTGGATTCAGGAAAGGCAAATCATCATGTGCTTGACCAAATTACAGCTGTATGCATTGTGATCATCGAACAAAGCATAGAACGGTAGTCAAACCTCTACTTCAACTTTGTTGACTTCAAAAGGCTTTCAACACAGTTCACCGAGAAAGTAATTTGGAAACTGCCTCAACAGAACGGCGTGCAGTGCTCCAAATCTTTATCAACATGTGGCTATGTGGCAGTGCCAGGTGTCCCACTATGAAAAACTCAGCGAAGGTTTTGGAGCCAATATAGGAGTAAGGCAAGACTGCCTATTATCACCGATGATATTCCTAGATGTGGTGGATTCAATTATACGTTAGACTGATGGGAGCGAGAAGGCAGGAATACGCTGGGCTACCGGTAAGAAGACTCTAGAAGATCTGGATTTTGCAGATAATTCATGCTAAATGTCACACATACTCGAAGACTTTCCGGTGAAAACCGGCTGAAGAAGCAGCGAAAACAGGACTCCATAGAGCACATAGAGGAGACAGAGGTGATGAAGATAACCATCCAACCAACAACAATAAAAATCAGCACCATTAACCATCAATGCGTCGGTGGCATAGCGGTTAGGACGCTCGCCGACCATGCATATGGTCAGGGGTTCGGTTCCCTGCCGAAGCACTCCTTTACCTCACTAAGACAGAAATAAAAGCTGGCAAAGAGGAAAAGGTTGGACATAAGGCTAGCAACCACATCCTGTAAAAATAAACGCTGCTACAGAAACTTCCAGGTTCTGGGTTTAAGCTCTATGTTCCACTGGGAACGTGAAGGATTAAAAAAATAATCATCAACGGGAGAAATTTGACAGAAGTTAGTTCCTTCATCTATCTAGGAAGCATCGTTTCAACTACAGGCGGAACGGATGAAGATGTTAAATCCAGCCAGCCAAAATCGGAAAGGTAAGATGCACCTTCATCAACCTTAAACGAGTTTGGAAGTCTCCTACACTCAGCCAGCATAAAGAACAAGATTCGTATTTTCAACACCAATGTGGAGTCGGTTCTTCTATACGCGTCAGAAACTTAACTAGCGTGTCATGAAAAGGATTTCCAACAGGTTGCAGGCTTTTATCAACAGTTGCATTCGCTCGGTATTGAAGACCAAATGGCTAGAAAGAATTAGCAAGAAGAAACTGGTAGCAAACCAACCAAGAATCGATTGCACAACACATGGAGAAAATGGCAATGGGTCGAGAACACACTGAGGAAGCCCTCGAATGACATCGCGCCCCAGACCACGGCTCGGGTGAATTCCTAATGGGAAACGACGAGTGAGTCGTCGGTGCGAGGGTGGTGTGTAGGAGATCGAGCGAGTAGGATGTGAGAGATTATGGGCAATCGTGGATCCAGCAGAAAATAAATGAAAGTGGAGATGTGCTGTTGAAACCATATGTTCCACTTAAAACCCAAGGGAATAATAATAATAGTGGAAATTAAGAATGACAACTCACTTTCCATATGATAGGCTGTGACCTGCATTTGTGAAGAATCAAAATGTTACTCAAGTTCGTCCGTTTAGGTGCTTGACTTGTAACCGCAGGTTCGAACCACACTCCATCTTCAGAGGTTTGTATGGTGTCAATAACCCTCACATATGCTTAGAGATGCAAATATCTGTTAAGTAACGTTGAAAGCAGCAGGGCTCGAGCCGCAAACCATTAGATAAAAGTCAAATTCCGTCACGTGATTTGGCTATCAAACCGTAAATATGACACCCAGTTAATAATAATGAACTGTATATTTTCTTAAAATACAGTTCCATATTAATAGTTTTGAAGAGTACAGAGTTTCCAGCAGACTATATGGCTGATACTCGGAAATTAAGTTCTAAGCTTGTGCCACTCTTAAAATGTGGGTACTAATACAAAGTAACATACATGTTTCCTGCTCATGCCTGATCAAGTGCATGTTTAGATCAAATAAAAAGGAGACATAAAAATCAATATCTTGACATAGAAGTTTGTTCTCAAAAACCATTAGCAGAAAAGGTATTAGGATTCGGCAGTAATTAAGGACATCAAAAAGAATAGCACAAAGGTGACTTTTTACTAATCCCAGAGTCAGAATAAAGACACAGCAATAGTTCAGTCACCTCAGCTCACGTTTTCTTTTTTACCTGTCCGCCTATTCCTATAAGAGGTGAGGCGACAGTTGCGAAATATCGGAAATTGACATTGCCTTTAGGAGTTTATAAAATAGTTGTTAGAAATTTTAGATTTTGTTAGAAATTGTAGGTCGGTTAGGTAACCTAGAAAATATCTTGATAGGCAGGTCCTAAACATTGGTCATTTTGGTATATTAGAAGGACGACAAGTTGGGCGTACTGGGATAACGTAGGTAAGATTATGTGTAGAGGAAATGGAACCAGTTGTAAGTTGTGGTAGAGTACTGATTGCAATGGATTTGTACCGCAGAATCCCTATGTTCCGCTTGAAACGCAAGGAATGAATCCTGATAATCTTGCACTTTGTGACGGAACATTCTTCAAACAGTAGTGATAATATTTTGTTTTATAATCGTGCCACTACGCTTCCGTTTCGCCTTCCTGAAGTGAGGCCCTGTGTGAAGCTGTATATTGATTTATCACTCCGTAGGCTTTTCTAAACGATCATAAAAATCTATTTCTGTTTGACAAGAAACAGTGAATGTAATTTATGAGATGCGAGTACGCTTGTTTAACTTCATTAGGCAGAATATCCTTTACATAGCTATTCTGTCAAGTTCTATCTGGATTTTTCAAACAAGATTTCACACCGGACTTGTATATTGTCTCCATAGAACGCGGAGATTGCCAGGATTGTAATAGTGGGTAACTTCTTGCAGCCTTTTTACATTTAAAGATTAAGTCCCGCAAACACAGATTACTTCATACGCAGCAGACACAGCTCGTAATGGATAGTCATGAATTTACGCGAATACCAAATTAGTGAAAGGCATTGCCATAAGTTTTCTCTATCCACTGACTGGAGCCCATTGAATCGAAAAACAGTGACTTTGTTCCACAAAAAAGATAAACACACTGTCTTAGTTGGTTTCTCATTTCTCAGCTACGTTCAGGCTCTGCATTATTCTTAAATTTGGGATTTTAGAAGCCCTAGAGGTCAAGCTGATTTTTCTAGGAGGATTTTCTTTTCCATAAAAGTGAGACAATCAGTGTATGAGACTAGCAAAAGAGAATCATCTTTGATCCCCATATATCAGCTAACATTTCAATAAGTTCAGCTAATATCCCAGTTCATTAGACCACCCTGTGGTCCTTTGATCAAGATCATCTGCGCCTTACTGTATCTATGTAAGCTCAGTGTTCCATTGAGGCTACAACAAAATAATGATCAAATAGGGAGCAGTTGTATGTCAGCCCCCTTCATCAGAATGAAAGTCACTTATTGCTGCTACTATCTCTATTCGTTCAGCCTTCACTACCCTTCACTATTCACAACAAAGATGGAAACTATTTTTAAGCTACCTTCATACTTTAGTTTGTTCTGGGTCTGCAGGGATACCTTTTTGTACGTCGTCTATTTCTAAATAAATTCTTGAGATCAACTGATCTCTTTTAAATGCTTCTGAAGATTAGAAACAGCATATGTCTGCCTTTTTTGTAGCAGAATCACGATCATGACATGCTTCTCCATGATGAGTAATATTGTTATATTTCAACTCATAGGCCGTCTTCATTGAAATGTTATCTGCGCAAACTTATCATTGAGCTGAGCTTCGAAAGGTTTCACATTTACCTTAATGTGTAGATTTGGATCTAAACAATTCTATTTTAGAACGATACTCAATCTTCTACTGAAACACTTTAGTGATAATTGATGAAAATATGGCGTGTATGAGCCACAAATGAAGGTCGATATGTCAGGAACTGTTACTGACTAGAAATGAGTCTTTTCTAGGGTAGATTTGTTCAGAGTACAAATTGGCTCAAATGTGCTCACGGTGCAAGAAGTTAGTGAAAGCCAGGAATCCGTTGTGATCTAGCTCAAGGGAGATAAACTCACCAACGACTAATTTCTCTAAAAAGGACCATTTGGGTCAACAAGTTAACCTAACCCTAATTTATTCCTAGACAGTCCTAATCTTTACCTAAAATTAAGTCTAACTTACTCCTACTTTTATCTTAATCTTCCCTTAGCTTTATCAAGCAGATATCCTGTTTAGTATTTATACACTTATGTGATTTTACTAACTGGTTTTAAGGATTAAAAGTATTTTTAATTGTTGGCTTGTAGGAATTTGATTTGAAACGTACTCGATCTAACTGCAATGATGTCAACTACTACTTCTTGACGCTTTAAAGGCATCAAATGTTGCGATTCACCAATAGGTACAACGAAAAGCCTAATATTTAGGAATGTGTCATCAGAGTAATAAAATTTAAAAAGGCATCATCACAACAGACTATGTAATGAACCGATCCATAATAAAAACAGACATTCAGTTACAAACTTTAATTTAATCACAAAAGTAAATAATGGACTGAGTCACTACTGATTGGTTTAAAAGTAGACTTCATCACTAACAACAGTTAAAGAACAAATAAAATCCAGTCAGCACTCTGCAGATATTTTGTGTTAGTTTGAAAGTGCTCAGCAATGCACATATATGACCGCACTAACGATCCAACTTATAACCTTCTGGTTACGAGTCAAGTACATTACCATTCAGCCACTGTGTGTGTGTAAAGAGATGGTTGAGTACTGCTGAAGGGTACAAAACAGTTGTTGAGTGCTCGCTGGTTTTCATACTTCCTTAAATGGTGTCTGCTGGTTAGGAAATCTACATTGAAATTAATCGAACGCTTTTTTTCCCTTCACGTTCCCAGTGGAGCATAGGAGGGCTTCAAGCTTACGGCTTGAAGTTTGTGAAGCTGTGTTTATTTTCACAAGATGGGGTTGCTAACCTCATGCTCAACCTTTCCTCTTTACCAGCATTATTTCTGGCTTAGCGAGGTAAAGGAGTGCGTCCAGTGGCCGGGGATCGAACCATGGACCATGTGCATGGTCGGAGAGCGTCCTAACTGCTATGCCACCGACGCTATTCGAACGCTCCACAAGCCGAAAAATTCGAACTAAACATAACAACAAAAGGTAGGCAAGATTCTGACTGCGAAGCAATTTTGCGGAAGTTTATGCCTCTAAAATAATTTTCCACAATCCCTTTCATCATCATTAGAACGGTTAAGTTACCGTATTCTCCATCTTAATACTCACATAATCTTGTAATATAACTGTGATAATAGAGAGTTTACAACTAGGAATGAGGATGGAAATTGCTCAATGAAATTGCTGACCTTAACTTTGTATTGAAACGCTTGCATTAACTAAAAGGCTGTGAGTATATCAAAACACTTACATAAAGTTATGTGCTTTGCTTATCCCTTCAGTATCACACCCATATTCATATCAGTTAGTTTTAAACAGTAATAAGACCAGTAAGTTTCGTTGTTTTTCAATACTAGAAGATTTGTTTATTTGATTGTCTTTTATATTGCATTGACCCTTTTTTTCTGTTTAAAAATGAGTACCAATGGACTGAAATTCTGTCTTCCTATGTATAATAAAAGCAATATTGAATTTTTTTAAAAAAGGACGATTTTCAGAAAAGCAATCTACAAAGAAATTTACATGAAGATCTTAGAATAATAGTTTGGATGATGGAAATCAAAGGTTTCAGAAAGAAAGAAAAAGAAATATGAAAGCAGTAAAATAAGGAATTTACAAATATGATGATTCAAGGCATAATTAAAGTTGTTCTCGATCCAATCGGTGCACGACTCAAAGCATTTTTCGATGTCTGTCCACTAACGAGTTTCTCCCTTTAATTGAAGAAAGAAAGAACGAAAGAAATTGATAGACTAAGATACAGTATTTGTGATGACTGTAACTTTGTGCAAAATATTACCTCACTTATAGGTTTCCAAAATCTGAATAAACCTGATGAAGAGGCTGTGGCTTACACGGCGAAACGTTCAGAAAAATCTTGTTTTGATTTTCTTAACAGGCTGGATTAATTTAAATAATTTATAATGTGTTTCCTCACTTATTTGCTCATAATTGTTTTATGTAATTATTCAATTGCAGACTCCGTACGCCATTGGCACCAAAAATCTTACCACTCAACATAATTAAACAACATAGTCGTTTGATAGTTTATGCGATGTCTTTAATATTGGCGAGACAAAGCAGCTGCTTGTCTTAAGATATCAAACATAGGCATGGGGGAAAATTAACGTCAGGGATTGCATTCTCATGAGTGCCAGTGACCTTACAAGGTTTGCATCTTAGTCTCTCCTTTTCAACTCTTGACTTCATATACCCTAATATTTAGAATATGGACCTTCTAAACTCCTGTAATGAACTCATTGTATTCACCAAATTAGCAGGGAGCACCGGACATTCGTGTTAGCCCCTCTACTTTTATAGGAACATTCATTAATACCTCAAAGCAGAGTATATGAGTTAACTGGTTGACATGAAGGCTATGAACACATGATCATTTGAGAGAATTTTGTGGGGAAGACCTAAATTTAACCAGCCTTGAGCATATTAAGTGACTTGTCAGGCTGTTAACAGTTAGACAGATATTATCAAGGAAACAATTTGGGACACTCCTGATTCTATAGACTGGCCTTATTACAAAGAGATGCAATCTGAAGTCGAAATGTGAATGTGAGTCACAGAGGCTAATATGCGATTGATTTAAATTATACTGAAAATCAATTTTTGTCTGATATTTATTACTAATTCCTTTGTAATCCAAAACCAAGCGAAAAGTTAATTATTTCAAAATTCAAGTTGCAATACTACCAAAAAGTGTGTGTGTGTGTATGTATAATATCTGTATGTCTAAGGATTTCCATTTCCTAAATCTCTTACTTGATATCACAGAAAATGTTGACTGTTTATTTTGTTCAGATATTATATGAACTGTTTCTACAATACCAACTGATACAGATATAGATAATGTTTACAACCAGTTAATATGCTATTTTATCTAGTTCTTACGTGATAACGTGTCTGACTGTAGTAGTGGATGACACGGGTTCGAATATTCAACTGGACATTAGTTCCTTCAAGGCAGTAGATACACTTAACTGATGGGTATCAATAAGGACGAAACCTGGATCATGGGGCTCTTTCTTACTGCTTCCTATCAGTTGAGATCCATTCAAAGTGAATTACGATGGTGAGTCCCCTAGCGTAGTGACTGCACCAGAAGCTTGACTGGAAGAATTAGTCAAAGCTAGAGACTAAGCAGTCTAAGAGTAGTTACACTTTAGTGACCACTTAAGCCATCATTGCTCTTGTATAACACCAGTTGACTGTTACTATATTTTCACTAGATTTCTCCCACAATTAGATATCTGTAAGTCATTTAAGAATTGTAAATTATTGTCAACTAGTGTCATTAAATGTTTGAAATCATGTTTTCATTTTAATTAATATCCATCTTTTATTTAGGAATTCATATCACTGTTAGAAACAAATGGTGAGCACGAAAATAACTACAAATTAATATGCTAAAATCCATTCAACAGTAAGGTAGGGAATCGGATGCTTAATCTCCTAGCCTTTATTAATTAGTCATTTAATTTTGTAAATTATCATGAATTATATTCATCCCATAAAACATTCGTAGATGAAGACTAATTTTCTCACTACCCAATTTTCCAGATTTTATCAAAATATAAATTCAAGCATTGATAGACACAAAGTGAGTTTTAACACTTAACAATTTATCTAAAAACACTTAAATGTTAATTATTGACCTTCCATTGTCATATATATATATATATCAGATGAAGCCAGTTGTAATGTTCAAAGTCTTTAAATCCTCTGTTTTTGATATTCCTATATCCGAGCATGTCAAAGGTGAGAATACATTTAATTACAGACAAACATCAATAGAAGAACTATTGGAAGAGTGCACTCAGTATACTATACCTAATCGAGATCAGAACTGTCAAATCCCAATTCCATGGTGTGGGCAATCGAAAAGCAATAACCTCTCACATACTTCTATAAGTACATAGGGGCTTCCTAATCACCACCTACCTTCATCTGCTCGCTTCCCCACTTACTGTTAATACTAGTCCGCAGGTAGGTCCTCTATCTTTTCCTAAATCTGCAGTCATTAATGGACACTAGGTCTGGCGAAACAATACTGACAGTTTCTTAAAGCCATGCTACCGACTTCATTTTGAACAATTCAACGTCAAGGCACTTTCCCAAGTTGGACAACAGGTCTCATCAGCCAGCACTCTGGTATAAATGTATGCTATGTTTCGGAGACACACATACAAGACAAAGGTGTAACTGTTCACTTAACCCATCCTGGTCAACATGATGAATCTGATTATTTCAACTAAGAGGTGTCAGGGGATTCTCCAACTAGTTCAAAAGCAACTGCGGGTGTAGGAATAGCATTGAGTGTTACGGCAGGAAAATCCTTAATCTACTGAATTTCACTGTATAGTCACACAGCTGAATGAAAGTCATCGCAAACACCATGAATCATAGTGGACAAGAAATCCAAATTGATGGGAAAAGTATAGACTATAGGTATCAACAGACTCATTAATGAAACGCGTTGTAAAAATCCGAACAATTTCTGAAAAGGGTGGTGCTTTAATTACCTCTCAGGATAGACAACTGGAACGTTGGAGGGAACACTTTGTGGAGCAGCTCGGCTGGTGTACAGTCGAGCTAAATTCCCCACCATCCAACATCTATCTACATGGAATGTAGTCATCAGTTTTCAAACCAGGATTAAAGATGCGAAAACTATCTCTAATCTGAAGCGAGGTAGTGTGGCGAGATCTGATGTTATAACTCCAAAATCGTTTAAAGATGGTGGTGATAAAATGTCGTCTGCGTTAACTACGACATTACATAGTGTGTGGTAATCGGAAATATCCCTGTTTGAGGCTGGTATAAATCATTGATTGTCCCAGTTTATAAGAATGAAGAGAAGTCTTCCTGTGATACTCACAAGAATATTAGCTTGGCGAACATGGTATCTAAAGTTCTAGGTTAGGCAACAATGCTTCGATTAGAGGCCCTCAAGAGAATAAAACCTTGGAACATCAGTCAGGCTTTAAGACAGAAAGAGGAAGTGTTGGTGATATCTTCACACCTTGAAAAATTCCAGATTGTAGGCATACTTACTGGCTATGAAACGTGGCCATTGAAAGTGGCCAACTTCAACAGACTATCTGTCTTCCGTCAGAGATGTTTTGCATTATATCTCCCTTTTTAAGTGGCATAATACGTCGAGTAATATTGAATTACGGCATGGAGTGCTAGGTTTGGAATGGAGGTCAGTTGATGTAGTTGTGAGGCTACATCGATTGCAATGGCTAGGATGCGTGTCACTTATTCTGAACCATCGCTTACTTCATCGACCAATATTAGCTGAAATAAGATGAGGTTGCGAAAATGTCACGGGTGGCCAAACCAACACAAATATTGGTGTAGACTGTGTGATTGGGATCTTCGCAGTGCTAAGAACCGATGTTTTGAGACTGTTGTCAATGTGACTAAAAGTTGTTTTCAATAGTGTAGATGTATTCAATATTTTTTTATTTCCAAATTAACTAAATTACCATTATTACCCATAACAATTTCTTTCTCTCTCTCGCACACTTCTGTTCATTGTAGTTTCTCTGAGTACTTGGTCGTTACTTTTGTGTACTACACAGACTGTGGTCACTTGAACTTCTGGACTCCATTGTCAAGTTCCACGATGAAAACTTAGTCAATCAGCGTGCGTCAGTGAAAAAGTTCACTATTTAGAAGATAATTTGAAAATACTGTGAAGGGTTTTGAACTACCACTCAGTTATCAAATCCCACGACAAGTAAATTACACTGGATAAAGGTTTCTAAACACTTCTAACTAGTGTTAGTTGAATATCATACAAGGAAGGTATACGTTTGACAGGCAAAAAGACCTCAGAAGATGTGAATTTTTCGGATAACTTATGCCTTGCGTCTCGCGAAATCAAAAGGTTTACAAGCGAAAACCAACTGAGTTATCTAAAGAGGTAGCAAAGACGGGAATTCAGGTGAACATAGAAGAGAAAGAGATGAAGATACCCAGCCAAAAACAACAAGCAATATCCATCATCAGCTGGAAAAATCTAAGTGAAGTCGTCTCTATCACTTACCTGGTAAACAACGTTTCAAATACAGGTGGCACAAATGAGGATGTAAAATCCAATCCGTAGAGAAAAGTGTGACAGACTTTCATTCATTTGAAATCAGCGTGGAGATCTGCATCATTTAGCACATGGAGCACTATCCTAATCTTCAAAACTAATGCCGTCAGTTCCTCTCTATGCTTTATAGACTTGGCGTGCATTACTGAAAGCATTTCAAACAGCCAGCTGCAGGATTTCACTAACCAGTAACATGGCTAGATGCGGAAGATCAGTTATCCTTTCAGAAAGGACTGGTGACTAAGAATTCTATCAGCCAATCAGCCATTATTATTACTATCAACAACTTTTACCCAAAAGATATCTAGAAGAAAATGGAGATGGATTGGATATTCCCCTGAGGAGACAGTTCAGTGGCATCAAATGCCAGGCCGTAGCACGGGATTCGAATGAGAATCGATAAAGTGGGACTCCAAAATTGACATTGAGGAGATCATATGAAACGGGAATAGAATGAGCATTCTTGGGGCTTTATAAAAAGACGACAGAGAACAGAATACAGTGGCTCTGTTTTGCTGAAGCCATATGTTCGACTGAGATCCGAAGAAACAAATGATGGTGATGATAATAATAAGTTGAATACAACAAACCACTGGCAACTGCTGTCTGCGGCACGTAGCAGTTTTAGATTTAATTTTTGAATGCAGTGCCGCGTATACACTACTAAAAATTTTCAAAAAGATGAGCAATTTATTTTTCTCTTTAAATTTACTACTTTAAAGCCTAAATAATTCTCACAAACTTCCTAAGTTTCTTTTTTGTTGATTATGTTATAATTAATTTCAGAAGTATAAAGCAATTAATATAAAACAAGTTGGCAGAAGAAGCATCCAGCGAAGATAGGACTCCAGGTGAACATAGAGAAAACAGAGGCGATGAAGATTCCTGGCCAACACCAGCAGCAACAACAACAGACAACAATCAGCCCGCATCAGTGGGAGGAACCTGAAAGACACAACCTCCTTTACCTACCTAAATGGAAAGCATCGTTTCAACTACAAGCCGAACTAACGAGGATATCAAAGCAAGAATCGGAAAAACAAGACAAGCTTTCAATACTCTCAAGTCTTTGTGGAGGTCAACAGCACTCACCATCAAAAATAAGTTCCGGATTTCCAACTCCAATGTGAAGTCAGTGCTACCATACGGATCACGGACTTGGCCAGCTTGTCATAAAGAGCACCTCAAACAAACTACAGACCTTCATCAACAGCTGTCTTCGCTCAATACTACTCAAGATCAGATGGCCGGCCAGAAACGATCAGCAACAGGGATCTCTGGTAGTGAGTGAACCAACCTAGCAGGAACCGATTGTGAAATAAACAGGTAGGAAGAAATGGAGATGGATTGGCTGGCCATACTCTGAGGAAACCATCAAGTGACATCACTAGACAAGCCATTGCTCGAGTGGAACCCGAAAGGGAAGCAGCAAGTTGGTCGTCAGTGTGAGGGTGACTTGGAAGAGGTCATGTAAAGAGGAGATGAAAGCATGTGGGCAGACTTGGAGTGGGGTGAAAAAGTTGGCGGAAAACCGAAGGCGATGGAGACGCGCGGCTGAAGCCCTATGATCTTCTAGGAATTAAAGGATATAATAATAATAAAACAATTAATATAGAACATTTGTACTTACTCTGGATCCGCAGCCCGCTGACTTACTGTAGTGACTGTTACAGTAGAAGGACTTGCTGCTTTATACTGTAGAGATATAAAAAAGCATATAGTATTACAGTACAGTTAATACGACACAGTTCAATAAAATGAAATAAATAAATAAATGTATTGAATTAGTGGATGGTGACTAGCAGTGGAATTCAAGATGCACATTTCGTCCTATTTCTGACTCGTCAGCTGGATGTAACTGCATTTCTCAGTGAGTGAGGATGTTACCACCGAGGCTTGAACCCGGTGCCCATAGTTTCAAACGCCAAAGCGTTATCCATTAGACCACTTGGGCCACGAGAGCCGCCTCTTGTGCAACGGGTCATATCAATTTAATTGAATTCTAGATTTTCCCGTAGATTGATTGGAATGAAGTGCTCGGTCTCAGGTTGACATGTCGGCTTCTTGTGCAGATGCTTCGATGATGTTTGGGCATTTAGTTAGTATTTAATTGGTGGATGGTGACTAGCAGTGTAATCCAGGATGCGCATTTTGTCCTAGTGTTCTAGTGGATAACGCTTTGGCGTTTGAAACTATGGGCACCGGGTTCGAGTTTCGGTGGGAACATCCTAACTCACTGAGAAATGCAGGTACATCCAGATGACGAGTCCCAAATAAGACTAAATGCGCATCCTGGATTCCACTGCTAGTCACCATCCACCAATTAAATACTAACTAAATGCCCAAACATCATCGAAGCATCTGCACAAGAAGCTGACATGTCAACCTGAGACCGAGCGTTTCAGTCAAATGAATCGACGGGAAAATCTAGAATTCAGTTTAAATAAATAAATGGTTACAATTTTAGAATAAGAATCATCATTTTCAAGGTATACACTTCGAGGCAAAACTCTACCAAAGTTTCTTTAGGAAACGCTAAATATTCACATCACCTAGATCTGAGGTGAGCTGTCGTTAACCATTTACTCTAATCAGTAGTACATAACATCTAACTTTAAATGTTTATTGATGGAACTGGTTAACAGTAAAAGTATTTTTTATTTACTGTATGCATATCATTAAATGAATAATTGTTCTTGTGCATTAATTTTGTTTTTTAAATCAGCGAAGTAATCAATAAAATAGTGCATATGAGAAAAATACTATTGATTAAATAAATGTTAAACAACTATCTTGAATCATTGTGAGACAGACTCTTTTACTGCACGTGCCAATGAACCCTATTCAGTCTATGAACTCTTAAACACACCTACGTTTAAGAATATATTGCACTTTTTTAAAATCCATTCTCAGATTATATATATATATATATATATATATATATATAAGCGTAAATACCAAATGGATCGCAGTGGAACTGCTTCTTTAGATCGTAAAATACCTTCAAACTCTAATGAAAATTCCTTTTATTTTGATCACAACTTCTTGACCTCTCGAATTAAAAATAAAAGTGAATTTAAATCTTATCTGGTTGACTAATTAGTGTTTTTTTTATTCAAGAAGACCAATCTTCTGTTAATGTATTGCTTTCTTGCAACTCCACCTCATAACATAACAGTTACTGATGAGTTGAAACTAGGATCAGATTATTTATCATATCTGTTGAATTGTACACTAATGAGAAATAATTTTCAACTTAGTATGAAAATTATTTCATTGGACATTTACAATTGTGTTATCCTTTCTATTGCCCATTTATGACTGTGAGTTCAAAAAATACAAGTTTAAATTCTACTGAATGAAGAACATTAATTAAACCAGAAAATTATCAATAAAGTATCTATTTAAGATTGTATCATTCATATAGTGTTTTGGTACTATGGTCTTTTTCATTTTTCTTGTTCTTTACAGTAGACACTATGTTTACCTATGTATGATTCAGCTTATGCTTAGTAAGTGTTTTCGTCAATGCTTAAACATTCAGCTAAACTGGTTGGCGTTGCTTATAACTAAACTTGTTGAAATCAAGTTATCTCACGCTGATGAATAAATAAAGCTAGTGTTTTTTACAAGTTTGACCACGGATTGATATCAGTTAGATAACCATTGAAAAAACATTAGTGAGTACTGGACATCTGTTTCATCTTAGTATGGGAATCATCAGCTGTACGTACCCAGAATAAGTTAGAATTCATAGGCCATTGAATCGAGTCCCAGTGGCTGAATGGTCTGCAAACTTGCCTTGTAACCGGAAGGTCCTGGTTTCGAACCCCAATGGGTGCCTACTGATGATGATTCCCAAACTAGGACGGAGGAAGCAGATCTCCAGTACTCCCTGGTTTTCAGTGGTTCTCTAACTGATATCAATCTGCGGTGAAACTCGTAAAAAAATCTAATTCTTACAAACCAACTCTTGAAAAGCTAGTGTTTGTTAGGCATCTTTTATTTTTGGTTGAATCTTATTTAGCATTACACTCATCCATGACAAGTTTCACTTCTTAACCACCCCACTCCCATAGTTTCGTTTTATTTGAATTGCTTCAAACTGTCATCTGAGTATATTATAACTGAATAAACACTTTTTTAACTGATTAAAAATGCCCATTTAAATTTTCAAAAAAATGGATACTGAACAAAGAGTACTCTTTTCGATAACTTCATCATCAGGCTCTGTCTGTCTGGATTCAACATAAAACTTGGCACCGAAGTGTGCCAGTTCGAGTTGCCACGTTCCAAATAGCACACACACAAAGGTAGACAAGAAGATGAGTGAAGAGAATCAATGGAGTTTGACAAGTATAAGAGTGAAACAGAATGGGTAATGGTAGAAAGGAATATGACTGAATACATCTGCGCCATTGACAACGATTTTGAGCCATGTCACCTATTGTTTCCAGCCATTCATTCCTGGGGTCCCGAGGGCCCCAACCCGGGAGTCTGCATCTCCCTACCTGTCTGTCTGTCTGTTTTCGACATAGAACTTTGCACAAATGTGCGGAAGTTCAAGTCGCCACATTCCGTGTAGCACGCGAAGCAAGAGAAGAAAGTACAAGAAAAGCATAATAGAAACAGTGAGCAGAGGTGTGAGACAAAGGAGTAATTAAGAAATATAAAACAGTTTCATTGAAGATCATAAGTCACAGGGAGTGGATGCATCTGCGCCACTGAGAACGATTTTGAGCCATGTCACCAATTGTTTCCAACCATAGACTTTTACCATCCCGAGGACCCCAGCCTGGAAGTCTACACCTTTCTACGTGGCTTAGACCAACTGTTGTGGATTTCATTGACTGATGCCAAGTTTTTGTTTGGCCACCACTTACTCTTCCAAATCATCAGGCTCTACAGTTATGTATATATTATAGTGAATGAATGAATTAGTGTTATTATTATTATTCCCTTGGGTTCCTAGTGGAACATAGGTCTTCAAGCGCACGTCTCCACTTGCTTCTGTCTTCTGCTGTACTTTTCACCTGCATCCATGTTATTCCATACTCTTTCAACTCCTCTTCACACGATCTCCCCCATGTCACCCTTGGACGTCCCACTCGCCTCTTCCCTTTTGGGTTCCACTCGAGCAATGGCCTGACGCACGGCGAGTATCCAGTCCATCTCCACATTCTCCTGCATATTTGTTGGGCGATTGGTTCTTGTTTTGTTTGTTCCCATAGTTTTTTGTTGGTGTTATGAACAACATTAATGTTTAAATAACACCGAATCAATAATATTGATCGATTACAGCTCAATAGCATCAACATAAAATAAGCTGAATGTCAGAAAAATTAGAAAAGATAATATTACAAATTCATGAATTTATAGTCTCTACTGAAGGCCAGGGCAGTAGTAGGGGCCGGACTTGCTTCTTTTGAACACAGAGCACTGGTTGTTTGAGACAAATTGCAATAGCCCCTGCTGTTTAGAGAATGCAGTACTTCGATGATTTTGACAGTTTATTAGGCACCCAGTAGATTATAGACAAGGATTCTTCCACGCTGGCTTTGTGGCTGGTTTGCAATAGATGGTCCAATATGGAATTGTTTAACTTTTAACTACACTTCTTTTTCATTCCGATGCATTCAGCGTAGAATGTGAAGCTTCATCTTTGAGCTTTGAAGTTTCATTTGCAGTGGTGATGTTGCTAACCTTACGCCCGACCTTCCGTCTTCACCGGAATTACTATCTGCTAGATGAGGTTTAGGAGTGTGTTGGCCGAGAATTGAACCTGGGCCACTTGTATTGTTGGCGATCACTCTACCACTGAATCACCAACGCACTACAAACATTATAAACATCAATTTTTGAAAATATGTTAACTTATATGATGAAATATCTGATAGTTTATATCAACTTATTTTACAAATAATTTATGCATTTTTAATGATATTCTCTCATTTATGATTTCAGGCATACGAGAAAGAAAAAAGACACGTGAGGAAAGAGTGTCAATAAATGGTTTTAAGGTTATCAACTAATAGACTCTGATCTCGATCATTAAATATAATAATTTTTCCTTCACGTTCCCAGTGGAACATAGGGCTCCAAGCTAGTGGCTTGAAGTTTCTGTAGCAGTGTTTAATTTTTACAGGATGGGGTTGCTAGCCTCATGCCAAACCTTTCCTCTTTACCAGGATTATCTCTGGCACGATGAGGTAAAGGAGTGCGCCGGCTGGGGATCGAACCCCGGACCATATGCATGGTCGGCGAGCGTGCTAACCGCTATACCACCGACGCATTATTAGTGGCAACGTAATAACTGTTTGTATCCTTAATGCTTTACATTCATTTTCTAAAGGAGAAAAATAGGTTTTTCTATTCAATTCCGAAACACGATAAAACACATTCACTGGCTTACAATGGTATTTCACTCGATGTTATTTCCCTTCAAATTTCAACACTCATTGATTACAATAAAAACTCACCTTGATACGTTTACGTTCTTCAGATCCAAGTCGATAAGCATCATAATAGAATTTCATTCCAGCTCCGAAGAATAAAAATGAACAAGCAATTAATAAGGGACCAGTTAATTCACCAATATCTAACGATAAAATTATATTCATATAAACATGTCGTAGACATGTGATTAGGAGACCGATAAATAATACTAGCAAGAAAATAGTATAAAAACCGATTGCAATCCAATACAATCTTTTTGCACGACCGAATTTCACTGAATTTATTTCTCTTTGTACTTTACGATCATGATGTTCAGCTTGAATCGTTGTCCTACCACTTTTATATGTTGCTAATGAGGCCTAAAAAGGTAAGAAATAAGCCAAAAGTAACCGTGATTATCACACTGAACATAAGAACTATATCATGAGTCGTACAGACTGATAAGAATAGGCTAAAATTGAAATCAACGCTTTGAGTCAATAGCTGCAGAGGTAGAAGTGTTTATTCCTCAAATTTGTATTTAGTTCACCTTGTGAACATGAAATAACCTCATTGGACAACTTGTTTGACCTTGAGTCGATTCCCAACCTGTCAGAATAATTTATTCTCCTCTGACCTAGCCGAACTTTAATATGACTAAGAATGTATAAATCTGATGTCATTTTTTTAAATAAAGGTCCGTTATCAAGTCCCTTATCTTCTGGCATTACACCATGAGTTAATTAATATTCTTCACGAAATGTTCAGATTCATAAAGCATTGGACATCTACTTTATTTTGACACAAGGTTCCTAGTTATCTGAACTATATAAGTATCTTTAAGTCTAATGAAGACAGCTTTACACTGACCGCATAAAATTCTTTATGTCTGTTTAACCAATATAACATTGTGTATTGATGAGACATATAATGCTCAACTGCCATAATTCACGCATTCAATAAACCATTTATAAATTGAAATGATGACTGCGTTATCGCCTTAAACCAATACTCAGACGTATTGTCGCGTATCCTACTAACAAGATTTATCAGTAGTATGTAAAGAGACGTTCATTGGCATACACAAAAATATCAAATAGCGAAGAGATAGATTTGATGTCAAAGAGAGCAAATGATTCAGCATTGCGGGAAAAACATGGGAGACACGACAAGAAGACAAAAATACACAATACGAGGGGCAGAAGTAAAACAACACGGAAGATCCGTGGATACGACAATTTTCAGATAAGGTATACGTGATTTCTCTGTATAGATATATTAAATTCCAAATAAACATTCCTTTATCAAATTTCTTGTCTTTTACTGTTATACTATGACTGAAACGTATGAACTATATTGATCTGTATCGTACAAGGGAGGTGGAGTTAACGTTGTTATGAGCGTAAAACAATTTCCACATATCGTTTGAATTTTGAGGAGTTCTTTGAGAAATTTGAGGACGACGTTCGAATATCTTTTTAAGAATATTGAGGCATATCTGTTGGATCCTTTATATGTGCCATAATAAACTGAATATGAGAAAATAAACTCGGTATGTAATTTAGCCTTGAAGAGACAGGTCGTATTAATTTTCTTCATTTGTAGGTGAATAATGAAAACCCGTAACGACAAGAGTTGGTCATTGCCTTCCTAGGTAAATTTTAGTTTTTTCCCACATCGTCTTATCAAAATCACTATTACGGCAAATAAAATCAATTTCAATATGACCAGTGACTTACTTTAGATGCTTTTAAGCTTTTTGACATTCTGAAGTGACTGGGAGCGTACATTGAACGTGTTCCTTGAACTGATTTTGTCAGTAATATTGATGGTTGATAACCTGACATGCTACCTATTCTGCTGTTGCTCTCACTTAAAACAGAAGTCCCATTTTCAATATTTTGTAGATTTGTTGATCCGTTAACAGCCGGATCTAACTGCCTTGTACTTTTTATGATATTCTGATAAACATTTCCAACTGAACCAACTTGTGATCTAGGTTTAGATGATATATAAGATCCTGAGACAGTAGATCCTGTTGCCTCTTGATTAATTAACTGATTTGCAGGATAGGGACGAAATGAAGCAACTGAAGGAACACGTATAGGATCACTGGAACGTAATGAAGAAGAGCTGCCACTTCTTCCTAGACTATTCAGTCTTTGTTGTTCATACTGCATGCGTGTAATGTGACTTGTCATATTGAAGTGTTATTATTTCAATATTCCTAATAAAAGTCAGATTAAAGCATTTGTGAAAATTATGATATATATATATATATATATAAGTAAAAAAAAAGTTGTCTAGTCTTGAAGTGGGATTTCTTATATCTAAATCCAATCGTGTTTTTAAACTTACATCAACTAAAAATGAATACATGATCTAAAACTTAACAGCGACTAGGTGGAGGAATGATCAAACAAAGTGAGAGAATTCAAAGGTTTGTTTTGCGGGGATTTTGTAGGTTACAAGATTTCATCATGAGCTGACATAGGTTACAGAACCATTACAAAACCTCCAAGTACTGGACAGCTGTTTCATCTAACAAACCAACACTTGAATATCAGTTTGATGTTCACTAACGACTGCATCTATTCTGGTAGGAAGTTACCTGGGTTCTAGTGAGAGGTTGTGACCGGTTGGATACAGTAGGTAGGGTGTGAAGACAAATACTCGCCGTTGACAATGACTACTGGTCGCGCTGTATCACGAATCGGCAGAAGTTGGAATTGATGGACTGGCCATTTGATTGGTTCCCATTAGCTTAATGATCTAAAAGCTCGCCATGTAACTGGAAGGTCCTGGGTTTGAACACTGGTGGTGGGCGCGTACTGATGAAGAGTCCGAAATTAGGACGAAACGGTTGTCCAGTAGTTCTCTAAGCGATATCGGCTCATGATGAAATCCAATAAAATGAGAAAAGTTCGAAAAGGAGTTTTCTAGTAATGCGTCGGTGGCACAGTGGTTAGGACTCTCGCCGACCATGCACATGGTCCGAGGTTCGATCCCCTGCCGACGTACACCTGATATCTTTGGTCAGCCTGCAAAATATGAGCTACCGATATCCATGCTGAAAATTCCATGCTCGTACCAAAAATACAGTGTAGAATCAAGCTGTAAATCAAAAATATATAAATAAAACACTTCCAATGCATTTACGATTTAATCGAAAATGTTCACATTTAGTGGTTAGAATGATAAGTTGAATATATTTTCTCCACCTATTTTTAAGTATCTATCAGACAATTGAATTAGAATAACATTTATAGAAACAAAACAGTTCGAATTTTCATCATGAGCTAACATTAGTTAGGGAACCATTGGAAAACTTGGGAGTACTGGACAGCTGTTTCGTCCTAGTTCGGGACTCTTCATCAGTACACACCTGCCCACCACCAGGGTTCTAACCCAGGACCTTCTGGTTACAAGGCGAACTAGCTGGTAGACCATTAAGCCACTGGGACCCGATCCAATGGCCCACGAATTCTAACTTCTGCCAATTCACGACATAGCTCATGATGAAAATCCTGTAACCAATCAAATCCCTACAAACCAACACTTGAAAAACAGTTCGAAATTGAGTTTTTTTTGGAAAAAAGACTGATACTTTGAATGAAGGCTAGACAGTGTTTTCAACGTTTTTCAGTTAGATTACAAACTTTCATTTCATCCATGTTCCCTTGTTGATATAAGTTCCCTTAGTTTATTTAATCAACATAATAATAAAGTGTAGACGAATATGAACAGCCAGAATACATTTATTAGATTCTTAGTAGTATTTTATTGAAACATTCAACTTGTTTTTTATCAACGTCACTTTCAGCTAATTTGAACTGAAAAGAAGTAAAGAAAAAGTTCGATTCTCAAGATTTCTAGGTGGATTTAGTTAGTCTATTGAGAAAATCTTCAAATTCTTTTGTATTGTATATAAATTTTAATAAGTGCGTTACAAGTTATCTGTAAGGTATTGTAATCTGAGAGGAGTGAACAGTCAGAACTTCATAGATGTTTGATGAAAATTATTATTCTGGACATGTTACAATAGTGAGTGAAAAGTATTGAGAATGTGTAACAGGGGCATAAAACTTTAATTGTAAAAGGGAACACTAATTTTTCAATAATGTTTATAATATGAACCGAAATCAAAGTAACTGTTATGCTGCTAAGTCATTCAGTTAGATAGAATTTTGCGTCGACTAGAATACAGACATAATTATTCTAATGTATTTCAATCATCTAGCTATACATCTTATATAGTCAGACAACTATTCATACAGATGATTTAGAAATAATAAATAGGTGAATTATACAGTACATGAACCTAATAGATGAAAACAGTCAACTGGTCTTGGTTTCAAAAACCGTCAGACCATTTCTGTGGTTTATCATCCCTCAGCTGCAACAACTATCCTTCATATATACCTCGTCGACATACTGTGACTAATAATTGAACAGAAACCAGAATGCAGCAATAGGAACCAGATATTTAATATAGTATTGAGCCCTTTTGCTTGAAGGAGATTAGCTACTCTGTTTGAAGTATTCCCTTCTAGAAAAGAAAAGTTGACTAATCAGAGCAGTTCCACCTTCGCTTCTTACAGCACGAAAAATGAACCAATCACCAAAAACAACCTTTTATTTTTTTGATTACAGCTTGATTCCACAGCGTATTTTTGGTACAAGTATGGGATTTTCAGCGTGGATATCGGTAGCCAAAATTTCGCAGGCCGACCGTGGATATCAGGTGTGCGTCGGTAGGGGATCGAACCCCGGACCATGTGCATGGTCGGCGAGAGTCCTAACCACTGTGTCTCAGTGAATCATATTCGTTCAGAAGAAGTCTACCGAGTAAATTAGTCACATACCTTGTAACAACAGAAGACAAGGGCCAGGCAGCAGATCGTTTATTAAGAAAATCAGCACGTATTTATATATGTTATATATTATAGCTTATCCAGGCAGACAAACACAGTCTTCTGATTGATTGTTTCTTGCTCAAGGTTATTCTGTACTGCTTGTGACTGGTTTCTCGGAAAGTTAAGCCATATATCTGCGAATCGTATTTGCTTACGTTAAGTCTGCTGTGATTGGTTGTTGAATCAGTCTTGTTCGTATTTTCTCACAACCAATATCAGCGACATAGACATTGACGTAAATTAATGTCTACCAATTGGCTAGCAGCCTGCTCTCATCACAACCTTTTTGGGAAAACAGAAAGCGTATCGCCAATCTGTTACATCCCACCTGCGTTCACGCAGTCATCGAAAGGGTAATCTTCTTGGTATCAGGCAAAATAGTAAAATATTACTATCGGAAAGGAGGAATACTATTTTAGTTTTTCATAAAGTGTCGATGATGATATCTGGAATAACGTTAAAATGACTTGCATCAAAAACCCTAGATCAGAAAACAACTAATTCTTATTGACTTTGCAAACTGTTTAGGGGCTAAGATTACTAACATTTATAATTATCTCTTAACTTATTTGACGGCAACGGTCTATTTTAAATTAGATAAATATGCAACTCCGTTTTACTAGCGTTGACTGATGAGTATGGACCTGTTTTATCTTTTAGACAGTGGAGTATACGACCTGATGGGTTCACACATGCATGTGGTTTTACTTATTATTATTGTCCTTATGTCCTCATTATCATAACAGTGAGTCAAAAACGTACAAAATGTAATAAAAATTTCAAGGAGTTTTTATATCAAGAAATGATGCCTTTATTACACAGTATTTAAACTGATCAGAAATATGGAATAAAGGACTCTATACATAGGTTTTTAAGAACCAGATAACTTCATTGAATATGAACTGGATGTCTCCAAATTTTTAAAAGTATTTCCAAAAGGCTTTTAGAAGGAATTTCTCATTGCGTTTCTTTTAGGTTCAGTAAATTTTTAGCTCTTCTTGGGATCTGTTTTGGGACTAATTTATCCTAATTTATGCAACATGATGAGTTTGTTTCCCTGCGATTTTAAGACTCAATGAGGACGAAATGGAATGTTATTCAAAGACAATTTGCACTTACTTCCACTTGTCAATAAGTTACACCTGTTGTGTAAGGGCTGATAATGTTACCTAGCTGCACGAACCTCGGTAAATGAAGTGAAGTTAGAACTTTTGAAAACTTCCAGGCTAAATCATTCAGCCACAGTAAGAAGCCTATTTGATTTCCCTTGACACTTGGTAATATTCTAATTCGAAAAGCACGAGATATCTATCTGAAAAACATGTATTGCAAGTTATTTTCATGGCTTTTATTTCATTCGTAACTATTCTATCGCTTAGTTGATTTCAGTACTACTCTTTTTCTGAAAATAAATGATACTGCTTCAATTGGTTGGGCTGATCGACCAGATTAGAACACTTAAAGTACATAAAGTTGCGGAAAAATGATGTATAGTAATTGTGCTATTTCTTCGGTCGACAGAGGATAGGTACCCATCTGGAGCCACCACGAGCTGTGTTTACAAATTTACATGTACTTTCTAAGGTAAATTAGACAAAATGACAGAGAAATGGACATTGAAGCTTTTCTCTATACATATTTTAAGACGATAAAAAAGTCGTAAAAGTGTGATTGGTCAACACACATACGTAATCCAAGCGTAATTATTTTGAGGAATCAACTATCACCAAATGATTCCAATTGAAACGGTTTATTCTAACAACAATAAACTGTTTTAATTTAATATGTATTTCTCATTCTGTTTATTTTTCGGCTTATCTACTTGAGCTTATTGGGGTTTCTTAAATTCTTTATGTAATATTTAAGCCTTTCATTAGTCTTCACCTATTTCCTTTTTCTGTTACTAAATGGGCTGTATTTCTGTTGTACAATGCTTCTTCAGCAGTCTTCATAACTAATTACGAATAGTTTTTTATGCAATTTATTATCCCTAAGCCATCATTTCACTGATTACTTTTGTGTCAGACTTTAATTCCCATAGACATTTATGTTGGGAGGGAAAAAAGGATGTTAGAATTTCATTAACTGTGTATATTTTTATACTGATTGCCTTAAAATAAGATGTGACTTCCATGTACACTAAACTTAATTCTTGCCTTATCGAACTGGGCTGATTGTTATTATTCAGTCTTCTAATCTCTAATCTACTTGATCCACCATTCAGTTCCTCATACGAGTAGCCCAAATATTAGAATAGTTTGACTATATGTCATACGGTAACGCTC